AGTTCGTGAGCACGGTCACGGTATGGGCTTAGAAGTACAGCCTTAGTCTCCGTGTCGCAGTGACTAAGGCAAGGGCCAGTTTCTCCATTTGGGGATACCTGGTCTCGGCCTCGGTCATGGCCTTATTGTGTAATAGACAGGACTCTGCCGTACTCTATCTTGTTTGACCAGGGCCAAGCTGACAGCACTGTCAGACACGTCCAAGTATAAATGTAGTTTATCTCTTGGCATGGGCTTCGCGAGCAATGGTGCCGAGCAGAGGTAGCTTTTGAGTTTTTCAAAAGCTGCCTCACACTCATCTGTCCTCTCGAATGACCCCTTCGTTCTTAGCACTTTGAAGAAAGGGATGCACTTGTCGATAGACCTGGAGACGAACCGGTTGAGGGCGGCAATTCTCTCATTAAGGCATTGTAGCTGCTTAAATGTCCTCGGTGCTTGCATCTCGAGAACGGCTCTTATCTTCTCTAGGTTAGCCTCAATGCCACGATTATTAACCATGAACCCTAGGAACTTGCCAAATGAGACTCCAAAGGCGCACTTGGCAGGATTTAACTTCATTTGGTACTTTCTGAATATCTCGAAGGTTTCAGTTAGGTCAGCCAGGTGTGACCTGGACTTTCTGCTTTTGACAAGCATGTCGTTCACATAGACCTCCATATTGCGTCCGATCTGGTTGGTGAACATTTTGTTCACCATCCTTTGATAAGTCGCTCCTGCGTTCTTTAGACTGAAGGGCATGACCTTGTAGCAATATAGGCCTTGATCGGTTATGAAAGAGGTGTGGACTTGATCCAGCTCATGCATTTTTATCTGGTTATATCTGGAGTAGGCATCCATGAAGGTGAGCAGCTCGTATCCGGCCGTGGCGTCCACGAGCTGGTCGATCTTCGGCAGTGGAAAACAATCTTTTGGGCATTCTTTGTTAAGATTGGTGAAGTCTATACACATTCTCCACTTTCCTATAGACTTTTTAACCAGGACAACATTAGAGAGCCACTCAGGATACAGAACTTCCTTTATATATTCAGCTTTTAAAAGTTTGTTTACTTCCTCAACAATTACATCACTCTTTTCCCTATTTACAGGTCTTCTTTTTTTCTTAACAGGTCGGAATGATGGGTCAATGTTGAGGCGATGAACTATGATCTTTGGGTCTATACCCGACATGTCCTCATGAGACCATGCGAACACGTCCGAGTTCGCCCTGAGCAAGGAGATGAGTTCTTCCTTGTTCGCGGCCCCTAGCTTGGTGCCCATGCTCACCTGTTTTTATAGGCTGAGCAAGGGGACAAGCTCCAGCTCTTCAGTTGGTGCCGTCGCCTCCCATTGGTTGGTTTCGGGCAGCTCGTTCTCGGAAGTCTGAGTTGCTGGACTTATAAGATTTGATTGCTCTTCCAAAGCGTAAACTGCTGACCCTTTAAGTGCAGATGTGTAGCACTCTCGGGACGTTTTTTGCTATCCTCGGATCATGTCGACTCCATTGATCGTAGAATACTTCATAACTTGGTGCAGAGTCGATGAGATAGCCCGAAGTGAGTGGATAATAGGTCGTCCAAAAATGGCATTGTAGGCCGACCTGCCATCTATCACCACGAACTCGACCATCTGAGTGACTTGGGTGTCACCTTGGCCGATAATGATGGGAAGATCAATGCAACCCTTTGGGGTGACGGATTCTCCGCAAATCCAACTAAGGGGGTTGGACTCTTCTTCAACTGCGCCCTGGTCCATCCCAGTGCTAGGTAACTGGTGAGAGATAGAATGTTGGCAGAAGCGCCCCCATATATCAGCACCCTTCTAACCTGGACATGGTCTATGAGTGGTGAGATCACCCGGGCATCGTTGTGGGACAAGTGTACCCATTCCAGATTGGAGTCGGAGAACGAGATAGGACAGGTCGGCTTCTGCTCTTGAATGGTGCAGACTTCCCGACGAGCCTCCCTAACAACCTCCTTCCTCTTGTTTCCGGATTGACCCCCACTAGGGCCACCAAAGATGGTATTGATGACCGCAGGTCGGTCATCTCTCCAAGGTGGCGTTCTTGAGCACTTCCTGTCCTCTTTTTTTCTACTGAGCTCAAGCCCGGCTTACCAACATATTTCTTGAAGTAGCCATCTTGAATCAGGTCCTCAATTTGGTGCTTCAACTTCCAGCAACTCGAGGTATCATGGTCGTGATCACGATGAAAACGAAAATACATGTCTTTGTTGCGCTTTTTGGGGTCTCCTCTAAGCTTATCAAGTCGCTTGAGGAGCTTTTCCAAACCGTTCTCCTCGATATTGGTAAGAATCTCGGAGATCGGAATGGTGGTTGGGGTGTACCTCTCATAGGGCTCCCGCCGGTTGGAGTCCGAGTCGGATCTCCTGTAGTTAGATCGATCCTGGGAAGACGATCCCTTGTCCTTAGACTTAGGTTCAGACTTCCCCTTTTCTTGGCTACCTGTCTTCTTCTGGTCGGACCTTTTGTCTGTCTGACCTTGTTTGGTTTTGAGTAGTTCTTGCCCGTCTCTAACCTTCTTGGCCTTTTGCAAGACTTCAGCGAAGGTTGATGGCGCTTCCTCACCTAGTTTGACTGTTAGAGTTTCGTCGGCCAGGTCGGTAAGGAAGTAGCACATGGCCGAATCGTCAGAGCAATGCGCGACCTTAAGCTGTTTCTGTTGGAAGCTGGTCATTAACTCTCTCAAGGTCTCGCCCTCTTTCTGTCGGATAGTGGCGAGGTGAGTGACTGTCTTCCTGTCATAGTGTCGAGAAGAGAACTGACTAATGAACTCTTTCCTCAGCTGGCTATAGGTCAAGATCGACCTTGTCGGCAGCCTTTTGTACCAGAGCTGAGCACTCCCCGTGAGAGCAATCTGAAAGGCTCAGCACTTTATGGCATCTGAGGCCGCTTGAAAGTCCATAAGGCCCTCAAAGACTTCCACATAATCCTTTGGGTCCTTAGACCGGTCATATGGCTTCATGGCGGGCGTCTTGAACTTTGGAGGAATGGGAGCCTCCAAAATGTCCGAAGTGAACGCCGATTGGCCAATCTTGCCGTTATCAAAAGGACTTTCTTTCCTTTCGCACTTCGCCCTAAGTGCCTCGACCTGTTTGTCAAACTTGTTTTTCATCAGGTCGAACTCCTCCCTCGTTATGACGGTCTCCGGTGTCAACGGAGTGTACTTCGACTGGACTTCGAAGTCGGAGTTTGAGTATTTTTGGGAACACGATGAGGAGATCTCAGGGCCTCATGAGGCCTTCCTCTTCTTGTCGACGAGGTGCTTACTGAGATCATGATCTCGCAGGTTATAGTCAACTCCCACACTATCAGCGATGGGCTCATGACCGTCGTGATGAAGGCGTGGATGTTGGTCTTCTCCTCCCTCCGGTAGGTCATGTCCGCCTGGAGCCTTTGAGTGGGATCCAGTTCGGTTCGCCGCGTCATCTCATTATACATCTCC